TCGCCAGGAACACTGACTCATTCGTCCACTGGCTTAAGTCCTTTTATGGTTGCTTATGGGTTCCAACCCTCTGTCCTTCCCGGTGTGTTCTCCGACAAGGGAATACCCGCTTTGGACAAGCACCTCACCTCCTTACGGAAGATGTGGGATCAGGTCCATGCTACTCTTTCTCGTGCGGCTACTACTCAGAAAAAATTTGCTGATCGTCGTAGGGGTACTGCTCCCTCTTATGTCCTGGGTGATAGGGTTTGGTTGTCCTCTAGGAATCTCCGCCTCAGGGTCCCCTCAATGAAATTCGCGCCCAGTTTCCATGGCCCCTATAAGGTATTACGTAGGGTCAATCCTGTGTCCTACTCCCTGGCCTTGCCTCCTTCCATGCGTATACCTAACACTTTCCACACCTCCCTTTTGAAGCCCCTGCTCTGTAATAGATTCTCTGGTCCTCTCAGGCGTCCAGATTCCCTCCGCGCTGTCTCTAATGACATGTACGAAGTGGCTGCTCTGCTTGATTCTCGTTTCTCTCGGGGTCGCTTGCAGTACCTGGTTGATTGGAAGGGTTACGGCCCTGAGGAGCGGTCCTGGGTTTCTGCCTCTGACTTGAATGCGCCCTCCTTGATCCGCTCCTTTCATGCGCGGTTCCCTTCGAAGCCTTCGGCTTCCCGCCCGTTGGGCGGGCCTCAAGGGGGGGGTTATGTCAGGGATCCGCTCTACTTACCTCTCGGCGAGCGGCGTCTCCTCTCTGCCGCTCGCCGCCCGCGTCCTCCACGCCCCCCAGCGGCAGCATGTATAACGCTGCACGCTGGGAGGTCAATGACTTATGTAAACGCCGCGGTCACGTGAGTGACCCGGCGTTGAAGAAACAGTACCACAATCACAGTGGGGGGTATAGATATCCCCCACGTGTGATTGTTAATTCTGATTGAATTAAACCAAGGGTATTTATACTTACCTTTCCTGTCCCTCAGTGTCCTGTTGTGGTCTTGTGATACCTGTAGCGTAGTGTTCTCATCTTGCTCTCTGGTTACTGATTATTTGGCTCGTTATTCCGATTATCCGGCTCGTTATTCCGATTATCCTGTCTTCTCCACTCCTTTGACCTCGGCTTGTTTCTCGCTCTCCCGTTTTCTGGCTCCCTTTACTTGGCTTGTCTCCTGACTATTCTTAGCGTGCTTAGCCCGGCCACTCTAAGGTCCGGTACGGCACCTTTTCTGTGTGTGTGTGTGTGTCAGCGTGTTAGGCTCCCCGAATCGTGACAGGTATCATACGTTAGAGCACACGTTCCCATATCAATGACCACCCTTGCCAGATGGGTTCGTTGGATACTGTCTCTAGCAGGCGTAGATGCTTCCTTCGGGATCCACTCGGTACGAGGCGTGGCGGTGTCCTCAGCCTTCGCGCCGGGCGCCTCGCTATCAGATATCCTACGTTCGACAGACTGGTCAAGAGAATCCACGTTCTGCACTTTCTACTTCCGCCCGAACTCTGGTGCGGCTATGTCACTCATACAACAGCGTTAAAAAATGCAAAATAGGAAGCCTCCTGTCATGTGATAAAATTGAAGATTATGCTAGTGTTAGTGTATTTATAATCTTAATTTTAATAATGACAGGAGGCAAGTATTTTCCCACATGGGGAAGAGGGAAATCTCTGAATCACTATATTATTCACGGTTTTTCCTGATATCTAGCTCTATTCGAGACAATATGTGTCTAGGTTACCACCACACTTAACGGTTAGAGTTTGTCATGGTATAGCCAACCAGTAACTAATAATATTGTATTATTAAGCCAGGGGCCGCTATCATTGCTACAACCAGTTTGGAGATCAGTGCCTAACCCATTTCACATTCTCTTTCAGTGTAATTTCACGAGAGCATGGAATAACTGCAGGAAACTAATCGGATTACTGCTCAACCCATGAAGACCATCGTCCCTGTTGGACTTTCAACCGTTGATATTTGTTACTGATCTTCCTCAAAACCATCGTTCTATTGGAATTTTCATCAGTTGGTGCTGGTTACAGACTCTATATCTTGAACTTCTTCCCTGATTACGATGTTGCTCCCGAAAGAGGGGGAGGAGCCTATTTACTGGGAATATCATACTCCCTACTGCATTTTTGATTGGTTAAATGTTTCACTTTCTTTACTGCTGTGGAGTTTAGTAAAGAAAGTTATGGAAAATACTCGCCTCCTGTCATTATTAAAATTAAGATTATAAGTACACTAACGCTAGCATAATCTTCAATTCTCATTCACGCACCCCAGTAAACGCTATTGACGCAGATACTTAAGTTCCTAATTCAGCAGAGATGAGTATAAAACAAACTACCTTCCGCAGCAATTCTGTGTTCACAACAACTTTGCCATCTTGTAATGCCTCAGGTCATCCACAGAGATCTGTTATCCATCCACATATGTGCCCTGGCACTTCTCCAGTACTACCATACAAGCACTCCAGGCCGTAATTATATGCACATGTCATGCTGGCACCAAATGCCAACTCAAAAATAAAAAGTAATTTTTTATTTTTTTGGGGGCTAAATTTTATTTACATATTAAATTTTTTTAAACTCTCCCTAATGAGAGTTCTTTTTAAATGATGGCCCACAATATGCCTGTTTGTTTACACACAGTGTGTATACAGGGTGCACACTGTTAGTTAGTGCTGTGTATACAGTGAGGATGTCAGTGTTTGTGTACACACAGTGTGTATACAGGGTGCACACTGTTGTTAGTTAGTGCTGTGAATACAGTGAGGATGTCAGTGTTTGTGTACACACAGTGTGTATACAGGGTGCACACGGTTGTTAGTGCTGTGTATACAGTGAGGATGTCAGTGTTTGTGTACACACAGTGTGTATACAGGGTGCACACTGTTGTTAGTCAGTGCTGTGTATACAGTGAGGATGTCAGTGTTTGTGTACACACAGTGTGTATACAGGATGCACACTGTTGTTAGTCAGTGCTGTGTATACAGTGAGGATGTCCGTGTTTGTGTACACACAGTGTGTATACAGGGTGTGCACTGTTGTTAGTCAGTGCTGTGTATACAGTGAGGATGTCCGTGTTTGTGTACACACAGTGTGTATACAGGGTGCACACTGTTGTTAGTGCTGTGTATACAGTGAGGATGTCAGTGTTTGTGTACACACAGTGTGTATACAGGGTGCACACTGTTGTTAGTGCTGTGTATACAGTGAGGATGTCAGTGTTTGTGTACACACAGTGTGTATACAGGGTGCGCACTGTTGTTAGTTAGTGCTGTGAATACAGTGAGGTTGTCAGTGTTTGTGTACACACAGTGTGTATACAGGGTGCGCACTGTTGTTAGTTAGTGCTGTGTATACAGTGAGGATGTCAGTGTTTGTGTACACACAGTGTGTATACAGGGTGCACACTGTTGTTAGTTAGTGCTGTGTATACAGTGAGGATGTCAGTGTTTGTGTACACACAGTGTGTATACAGGGTGCGCACTGTTGTTAGTTAGTGCTGTGTATACAGTGAGGATGTCAGTGTTTGTGTACACACAGTGTGTATACAGGATGCGCACTGTTGTTAGTTAGTGCTGTGTATACAGTGAGGATGTCAGTCCCCTCCTTGCTGTGCTCTCTCCTCCCTCCATAGGGCAGTATTAGCCATCTCTCTCTCTCTATATCAGACACAGGATCTGCTTTTCGCAGCCGCCGCCTTGCCGTCAGCTTGCCCGGAGCCTGCTCTCCGCTACCCTTCAGCAGCCATGACCGAACAGGGCAGCAGCAGCAGCAGCAGCCGATATCAGCAGGTAGGAAAGTGCCTGTTGGGCAGAGCGGTGGGCCGGGGACACGGTACGCGAGCCCCGGGGATGAGCTCTTGTCAGCTAGGCCGCAATGTTGCCATCAGCCTGCTGGGGGGATTGAGCTCAGCAGATACAGTCATGGCAGGATGGGCTGAGCAATGCAGCACCTTAATACCGAGCCTGCATTCATACTGGGCTATATGTGAACCTCCTTTTACAGTGTACACCCCATCTAACATTAGCTATGGCCACAGTGCCATAGATAGCCATTACAATATGTGTAATGCTGCAATACAGCTTAATGATTAGTGATCAAGATTCATTTGGTATACTGCACACGTTAATCGATCCAAGTGTTATGAGAATGAGATGATATGTTACATTTTATACGTGTGTGTATATATATATATATAATCAATCCACCCCCTGTCTACCATTGGCTCTGCAGCTGTTATACTGCTCTGGCTAGCCAGGAGTTCTGGGTCAAATAATTCAACAACTGGAGGGCCAGTCTTGGACACACATGGGTACAAACACACTCATCCTGATGACCTTTGACATGCCAGACATGTAGTGATGTAAAATAATTCATCTTAGTCTCTACTCAGTAATTATGACTTTTTGTGTGTATGTACATGTAGCAAAATCATGTTCGTGCTCACATTTTGAGTCTTTTGAATAATGTGATGATGAACACGACCTTTCAATGCAGTGCAATTACGAACCATGCATAATTAAATATTGCAGAGTACTGCACTTTAGTTCTAGTACAGCCAGTAGCCATCAGCAATAATTTGTTTTCTGTACAAAAGAATCATTGTGGTTATCTGTGTATGTGTTGTTTTTTTAATTTTATTAAAGGCTTCCTAACCACTACTGCAACATGTAACTGCAGCTGATACATGACTTGTTCTTTACCTTTTAATTTACATTACAATTAAAGGTACACTCTTTCACCTTAACCACTACAGCAGACTTTAGTGGTTATAGTGTGAAAGGCCTTCAAGTGCTGTCTGCTTGCCTTGCTATGTCTGTCCCTTCCTATCAGAGTTGGCCTGATAAAGCACAAGTTCATACTGCTGCATTACCATGTCAACATTTCTCACATTTAACCCCTTATGGACTAAGCCAAATGTACACGTTGTGATCGAAACAAAACCTTGAATTTACCCTATATGTCTGTTCAGGCGTAATTCACCTCTTTTATATTATGTGCACCCACACTTATTATATATCATTTTTTTTCAGGGTTTCAGGGAAACAGGGCTTCATTTAACATCAAATATTTAGGTATGAAACATAATTTTAAAAGAATATAATAGAAAAAAAAATGGGAGAAAATAAGAATTCTTTTTTAGTTCTACGTGGCATTTTAACTGTGAATGTCATAATACTGTTTGCTTTTACTGCAATAAAAGACACATATTTGTATTCAGCTATGTCTCACGTGTAAAACAGTACCCCTTATGTACAGGTGTTATGGTGTTTTGGGAAGTTACAGGGTCAAATATAGCAAATATAGCGTGACCAAGTGGCTACTAAAAAAGACTGGATATATACTCCATTTGCAATACTGAGAGTTGTCTACTATTGCAAAGGGTATGCCATCATGGGGGTAATTTTCATTCCTGCGCTACCATACGGTCTCAAAGGCAACGTAACCAATCTGGTGAATTTCAATGTGAAAAACTGAAACGCAAGCCTTATATTTGACTCTGTAACTTTTGAAAACACCATAAAACCTGTACATGAGGGGTACTGTTAACTAAAAAAAAAAAGTATCACAACAATTATATTGTCAGTGTAAGTGCCATTTGTGTGTGAAAAATGCAAAAAATTTCACTTTCACTGACGATATCATCGTTGTAAAACATTTTACTGTTTTTAAACACTAATATTTGTGTTCAGCAAAGTCTTCCGAGTAAAACAGTACCCCCCGTGTACAGGTTTTATGGTGTCTTGGAAAGTTACAGGGTTAAATATAGCGCTAGCAAATTAAATTCCCTGGTCTTTCGGCGTGGGTTGTCAGGCAGGTCCCGCAAATTGTAATTAATAAAATGACGTAATTATGTAAAATTTTTACATAAATATATACATAGAATTATTGTGTGTGTGTGTGTGTGTGTGTGTGTGTGTATATATATATATATATATATATATATATATATATATATATATATATATATATATATATATATATATATATATATATATAAATGTGTGTAATTTCGTTCTAACTGTATTTTGATTATATATATTGATATCAAAATACACGTATTCCGCATAGGGGCAGCATCCACAGCCTCCAGTGTCAACATTCCAGTTTATGTTATAAAAACACTGGGGCGCTGGAAATCATCTGCTTATTCACGGTACATACGAACCCAGTACAAGAATTAAGGGATGCTTTCAAAAATATGTCTGGTTGATATGTGTATCTGTATTGGTTGTCTGTAATAAATTTGATTACTTAATGTTTGACCTCATCGTCGGTTCCGGCACACCACAACCGACTTGCTCTTTTTACTATCCTACATTTCATTAGGGTATTTTTACTCTGTACTATCATGAGCACCTAACACAAGTATTAAGGCAATTTGGTCTGTAATTGTGGGAGGTGCTTATTATCCACTCCTGGCCTACTTAAGGAACACCCCTTACCTTGCTCCTTACCGTTCGAGGTCAGCATTGAATGACCCTCCCACCACACCACATTATAACATTTATTTTCCTTTTTTATTTCTTTTCCTTGGTAAGCCCTCTTCTTTCTCAGGCCTACTTCATCGTCGGTTCCGGCACACCACAACCGACTTGCTCTTTTTACTATTTCATTAGGGTATTTTTTTTACTCTGTACTATCATGAGCACCTAACACAAAAAAAAAATAAAAAAAAATAAAATATATATATATATATATATATATATATCTCTCTCTCTCATCTCATTTGGTTCTACATGTATTTTGATAATATATATATTAAAATACAGTTAGAAATTACACACACCCACACACATATATATATATTAGTATTTTACACTGTTTTTATTTATTTATTTCATTCTTTATTTATGTTGACATTTTTGCACTGTTTTTAAACTTTAATTTTTTTTTTTACAGGCAGCAGGGGGAGTATCTGTCGTTACAGGCACTCCCTCTGCTGGCTCTGACATGGCTATGCCATCCATGTGATCGTGAGGTCCTCGCAAAGACCTCGTGATCACATGGCCCAGGAGGGCCAGAACGGCAGCAGGGGGTCTCTGTGATCGCCAGCGACCGGGTAAGTAAATAGGACGGCGGGAACGTGCTATGCCGCTTGATCCCCATGGACGGCATTGCACGCCCTCCTTCCTTAAGGGGTTAAACAGTATTTATTAGCTGTGAGTGTCAGCTGATCGCTGTCAGCCAATCAATACTGTTTAAACCTGATTGCATTGGTGTAAAAACATGGCAGTATCAAATTACACTTTGTAAGGCCAACTCAGGCCAGATGGTCTGCAGGAACCCAACCCCGCAAGGTGAAAGTGAAACAATGTGTACATTTTTTGACAGATTACTGGTGGACAGCACTTGGGAACATTATAGAGCAAGCATGTCAAACTCGCGGGCCGCATGCGGTCCACACTGAGTATATTTGCGGCCCTCCTAACCTGGTACCGCTTTGTGTGGTGGCTGCAATCAGCCGCACGACAGGAAAGCTTTCATTTCTGATTCTTGCCTTTCCTCCCATGGCCGCAAGAGGGCAGAGTGACTGTCTGTCTGCAGAGCAAGCCAGCCACTACCCCTTCCCTCCTGCTGCAGTGCCAGAGGAGCGTCCGGCCTGCTTAAACAGAGAAGAGCAGGGCTGGAACTGGAGGATGGCGTGGCTCATCTTGAGGTAGGAGAAGAGGGGCTTTGGGGAGTTTCCTGTGTAGTGTGCTTAACTGGGTGGGGGGCAGTGCATTAATTTGAGGGTGGGAGGGGGCAGTAAATTAATTTCGGAAGAGTGGGGGCCAGTGTATTAAATTTGGGAAAGGAGTGGGAAGTGTATTAATTTGAGGGATGGATGGGGGTAGCAGTGTATTAATTTGGGGAGAGAGGGGGCAGTGAATTAAAGTGGAAGCAGTGTATTGGATTAAGGGGCAGTGTATGAGATTGGATTTGGGGAAATGTACTGAATTTATGGGCAGTGTATTAGAATAGGGGAGGGGGCAGTGGATTAGATTTGGTCTGCATGGACGCGCTGGAAGCTCGCCATGGAGATGCTGATTGGCCGTGCAGCTTTTTGCCACACATGCACAATGGCCTCCCAATGCTTTCCTATAGGAAAGTATTGGATTGGCTGAGATCATAAAGTTTGATGATCTCAGCCAAAGTGAAGAACTCACTCATAGGACTTCAAAATCAACAAAATAACCATTTGATTTTTACAGCTGTGCAACAACATACATTCACCATTTCAGTCACATTACCAAACTTTTTCTTAATATGTCAAGGTAGTTTGACTGAAACAATGGTTATATGCAAATGCACGTCTCCTTAAAATAAATTCGCTGTTTTGTTTACTTTGAAACCCTACGAGCGTAAGGTCCAATGTCAGGCAACTTTTTTTATATTGTACTTTTCAAAATAAACCTACGTTTCTATTAAAATGGACGTTTTTTTTTTGGTTTTTTTTTGTGCCCTCATAAACTTAAACCTTGTTTATTTGGCCCGTGTTACCTTTTGAGTTTGACATGCTTGCTGTAGAGGATATGGTTCCTAGAGTGTCCCTTTAATTTTCCGAAAGAATGGAGACGCTACGAAAATCACAAAGTGCATCTGTTCAGACAATTTTAGCGCTATTTTTTTCTGTTATTCAACACTGTCAGTTTGTTCCATTTGAGGTGGCAAAAATGCTGAGTTTAGCTGAATACAGCATTGCCTAGGCCAGGGGTTTCTAATCTTTTTTGGACTTCATTGATAGAAATCTCATTTTTTGTTTTCTAGGCAATTGCTCCATTCTAGATAAATGTTTCTTTGAAATGTATGTGTTTA